GGTCCAGAGAAACCGCTTGCTGGAGAGAGGGCCTGAGGTCTAGAGGGGAAAGTTTGGAAACCAGAAAGACCTACTGATTAAGAGCAGCGTCGAGATCTGGCAGTGGTGGGTAGAGGGGCCTCTACAGTGGAGACGGTTTCCTCATTGCCACATCATAACCCCCGCCTCCTCTCCTTATCACGCTGACTTTGAATTTGATTTGGAATCAGCCCATCTGTATAGATGAGAAAACAGCTCAGCATGTAGGTCTGGGTTCAATCCTAGCACCAAAAAAGGAAAACAAAGCAAGAATGAAAATTATCCAGACCTAGGGTGGAGGGAAGGCTCCTAAGCACGGCTGCTGCTGACCCCAAAGTATAGAAGGGCCCATAGTGACCTCTGTCTCCCTTCCCAGATCCATCGAGGATGATGAGTGCCCGCAAAGCCGTCCGTACCTCTACTTCAATACGTCGGAAACTTCGGGCTCTAGTGAGAAAGCGCCGTGTTAAACAATGTGCAACAAGCTGCAGGGGGACAGGGAGGGTTGAACCCCAGGATCCTGATTCATCAGTGTCCCCGAGCAAGCCTGCGGCTCCCTCAGGTCGCCCGAAGGTACGCTTTCAACCTCTGGGGTTGGTATCTGGAAAAAAAAAAGCTAAATCCAATTTTTCTTTTCCAATCAGTTTTGTGCATGAGAGGGTAGAGACCCTCCTGAAAGGAAAAATGGCCAAATCCATTGGGACTAATGGGCATAGCCTGGGCTAATTAAAGACCCCTGCTGCTGCTGCTGCTGCTGCTGCTGCTGCTGCTGCTGTATGAGTCGCCTAGGAGGTAGCAACATCCTCATCCTGTGGATAGAAAAAAAGTTAACACCTGCCAGGCAGGAGTGGAGCTCTCCTTTAGTTCCAGCATTCCGGAGGCAGAGGCAGGTGGATCTCTGAGTTCGAGGTCAGCCTGGGCTACACAGCTAGTTCCAAGCCAGCCTGGGCTACGCAGAGAAACCCTGCGCTGGCTCACTGGTTAAGAGCATTTGCTGCTCTAGTAGAGTATCAGGGTCTGTTCTCCAGCACCCACACAGTGGCTCACAACTGGCTGTTTACTCCAGTTCCAGGAGATCCAACACCCTCTTCCAGCTTCCGCAGACATTTCGTGTACATGGTTGCACATACTTGCTGGCAAAACACTAACTACACATTAAAAACATATAAAATCTTTTAAAAGAAGCCATCTAAGCTATTAGGATTTTAGCAAGTTCTCAGGTGGTTTGGGAACCACTCAACGAGCATCTTTAGCATTTAAGTATTGTGAGTCTGTTATGTGCTTAAGACTTGGACTTTTGTCTGCTCAGTTGCAGTGTGACCTTGGGCAAATGACTCTCAGAACCTTGGTTGTTTAAGGAAACCTGAGACATCACCCTAGCTTGGTGGCTCATGACTCTAACCCTGGCACGTGACAGGCAGGAGTACTGCTGGGAGTTCCAAGCTACCGTTGGCTACATAGTAACCTACCTCTAGGCCAACCTGGGCTATCGAGTCCTAAAAAGATATAGGCTGGAGAGATGGACCAGTGGTTAAAGGCACTTACTGTTCTTGAAGAGGATCTGGGTTCAATTCCCGGCACCCCCATGGTGGTTCACAACCGTTTAATCTCAGTTCCAGGGCATCAGACACCTTCTGATCTCCTTGGGCATACCCATGATGCAAATACACACACACACACACACAAACACACCCCCTCATACAAAAGTAAAACATCTTTTTTTTTTTTGGTTTTTTGAGACAGGGTTTCTCTGTGTAGCTTTGCGCCTTTCCTGGAACTCACTTGGTAGCCCAGGCCGGCCTCGAACTCACAGAGATCCGCCTGCCTCTGCCTCCCGAGTGCTGGGATTAAAGGCGTGCGCCACCACCGCCCGGCCAAAAATAAAACATCTTAAAACACACACACACACATAGACGTCCACTGAAGGGGAATGTGAGGAGACAGGAGGAAGCCAGCTATCTATCAGATCAAGTCCACACAAGGCACCGGAAGCTAGGACAAAAAGCCTGAAACAGACCTTCCTCTAAAACCTTTAGAGAAGGGTATTCCTCCTGACACATTGAGGAGATCAGGTAACATCGGAGCGATATGGCTACAGTTCTTGGCTGCCTTCTGGCCTCCAGAACTGAGACAATAAATCCGTTAACTGGGTGTGGTAGGGCACCCCTGTAATCCCAGAATTTGTGAGGCTGTGGTAGGAGATAAGAGTTTGAGGGCAGCCTGGTCTAGATAATTAGACCTTGTCTTAAGAAAAATAAATAAATAAATGAATGGATCTCTGAACTTTCGTAGATTGCAGTTTTCTTAACAGCAGCCTGAAGAGATTAATCTCGGGACCCTAGAGTGCCCTAAAGAGGAGGCTTTAGCCAACCAGAGAGGTGGAATCCTTATTTATCAGGGGGCTGTAAAGTACATTCAGAAATAAGGAAAATCACAGAGCACCTGGATTTGGACTCCAGTTTTCATTAAGTGTGTAACTCTGCTACTTTGGGCAAACATCCCAGACCTGTCTAGGCTCCATCTGTCAAGTGGGAGTCACGATGGCACCAGGCAGCCAGGGTTGTTAGGAGTGTTTCGTGACAGAACATTGGTCTGGCAGTCGGCACAATGCTCAATAAACGGTGGCCATCTTCCCTCTCATGGGCTCTGCTGGGATCAAAGAGTAAAGGCAGGCCCGCCGCCCAGCTAACGAATTGGCTAATCTGTATTTACCCAGGGCAGTTCATCTCTGAGAATCCAAACAGGAAAAACAGGTACCAGAAGAAAGGAACAGATATGGAACTGCCTTGAAGGAAGCGAAAAGGCCTGTGGAGAAAGGAAAACTTGAGGGGCCGGAGCCCCTGTAGGTTAGACACAGGAGCCGCCCTCCCTTCCAGGAGGTCCCACTTATGGGCTTTCGTTTCTGTCTCCTATTGGTCTGGTCTGTGCAGAAAGCCTGCTGGTTGAGCAGCCATTGGATGGCTCCCAGTGATGCAGACCAAAGCAGGATAAGAGGATGGGGTGGACTTGCAGGCCTGGCAGTGGGTGTGGAATTGTACAGACCTGTGGGGCCTCATAAATCAGGTATAGCCGGCCAGCACTCGGGAGGCAGAGTCAGGCGGATCTCTGTGAGTTTGAGGCCAGCCTGGTCTACAGAGCAAGATCCAGGACTGGCACCAAAACTACACAGAGAAATCCTCTCTAGAAATCCCACCCCCCCAAAAAATAAATAAAATAATAATAAATAAAATAAAATAAAATAAAAAAAAATCAGGTATAAAGATAGTATCTACTCAGGTAGCTGGGTGCACACACAGAAGACATACCAGTTTGGCCCAGTGCCTGGCACACAGTAGGCAGTGCCAACCCAAGGAGTCAGCTGTCTGCTGCTCATAGGAAAAGGGGAAGACCGGAGCCCAAAGTAAACTCAAGGTACAAGTCCAGCATTAGCGTGGAGATATTTTTATCCAGACACCCGTCCATCTGTCTTCTGTCCATTCTAAGCTGGTGAGCCCAGCAGACTCCTTTTAGAAGTCCTGAGTCAGGGCTGACCACACCAAGATCAGGGTAGTAGGGAGTTTGGTCTCACAGCTCTTTCAAAAAGATTTGGAATCTACTTGGTTTTTTTTTTATTTTATTTTATTTTTTTGGTTGGTGTCTCTGCGTTCAGCTGCTGTTGCCAAATTTCCCTTGCCTCCTCCAGTCTGGAGCTGGGCCACTTCCAGGATCTTTCTTTGTATAATTAAAAAGAAAAATAGAACCGTTGATGTTGCCAAACACGTATTTAAAGTGACACTCGGAGCTCAGGGCGTGAACAATCAAAACGTTTTAAGGTTTAGATTAAAAGTCTCCGTACTCCGCAGTCTCCTGACCCTGGGATTTCTCTGCAGCCTGACTGCCTTTAATCCTCTGCCCTGGCTCATAAAAACCCTTTAGACTAAGGGTATTTATTTCTCAGAGAACTATTCCAGGCTAATCACATAAAAACACCCCGCTTCCCAGGAACACCCTGTCTAGTGCTGGTCCTGGGAACAGTGGGGTATTTGGAATAGCCACCTGAGGAGACACTCCAACCCCTTCCTTCGTGGTGTCCTTCCCTCACGTTTCCAGTCCATCAGAAAACCCAGCCAGTTCTGGTCCGCAACATGTCCTCAAAATCCGAGCTCTTCCCTCTTGTTCGCTGTATCCAGGGTGGGTGCCATCCCCATTCACCCGGATGTCAGCTGTCTCTTGCCCAACTCTCCTGTGGCTATTTTTAATTCTCCTAGTGCCCATTCTGTAAGAGCAACCAGAAAATCTTTCGAAAAGGTACAGCATGCCGGGCATAGTGGCACACCCCTTTAATCCCAGCACTTCAGAAGCAGAGACAGGCATATCTCTGAATTTGAGGCTAGCCTGGTCTACAAAGGGAGTTCAAGGACAACCAGGGATACCCAGAGAAACCCTGTTTCGAAAAAACAAAAAACAGAGAGAGAGAGACAGAGAGAGAGAGAAAATTCCCCCTCTGTAAAGCCTTTCCCATCTAAGATAATATGATCACAGGTTCCAGGGAATGTGGCCATTATTTAGCTTACTACACTGTGGAAGGACCCTCAGTGGTTTTTCAGCTTCTCATCTGGGAAGCCTTATCTAATGGAGTCCTGTCTTCTGCCTTATGATTGGAATTCATGGCTTCATAAAAGAAGCCCAGAGAACATTTGTCTCTTCTACTACAAGACATAGCAAGAAAACGCCATCAGTGAACCAGGAAGCAAGCAGGCCACCATCAGACACTGAATCTGATGGCTTTGTTTCGAGATGGGGCACCTCATGAAGTCCAGGCTGGCTTCAAATTCTTATGTCGCTGAGGATAACCTTGAATTTCTGATATTGTCTCCACCTGTGGTGCTCAGGAGCCAGAGGTAGGTGGATCTCTGAGTTCAAGGCCAGTCTGGTCTACTTAAGAGTTCCAGGACAGCCGGGGCTACAGAGAGAAACCTTGTCTTGAAAAACAAATTAAAAAAAAAAAAAAGGCAGGTTCCAATATTTCAGAATTTCTTCAGGCCATGCTTCATAGTATTCCTTCATGTAGTCAAGAATTTAAGAAATACTTACTTGGTAAGCTTGATACAAGTGATCTGTTTACTATTCAGTTAGAGGAGTGTTTATTGAGCACTCATTAGATGCTAGGTCTGAGCTCATCATCGAATGTAATCGAATGTACTGTCTATTTACCAAACATCTACTGGATACCACTGTCCCCAGTCAGTATCTGGGTATACAGTAGTTCAGTAAATGTCTGAAGGCAGGCTCCCTGGTCTTCGTGCTGAAATGCTCTGTACATAACTAACATACAGCGAAAAGGCTGTGATGTGGGTGTGCTCATGGTGCCAGAGACCCTTATCTCCTCGTACTGCTGGGTGCCTTTCTCTGAGACTTCTCTTCTCACTTGGGAAACAGCTCTTGGAAGAGGAGGTCAGACAGGCTCTGCTTCACCCGATTCTCGGTCTTTCGTGTCCCAGAAGGACTCTGCCTGTAGCACACCTTCATCATCAAGGCCTGGGGTCTGATGGCTGCCACCTTCTCCCACAGGCTGTCACTCCTTCATTCATCAGGCAGGAAGAGGGCAGCAGCTGGGCTCCAAACCTGGCGCTGCTGGCCGAGAGCCGAGAGCCCTGCGTTTGGCCTGACTTCCCTGCTTTGAAGGATTTAACTCTTCCTCCTCACAATCCCATCCCTTGACTTTTGTAATGGCGAATTTAAGAGGCGATCTTCTGTGTGTGTGTGGTGCGCATGTGTGTATGCGCACCTCGGAGGCCAGAGGTGGATGTCCTCTGTCTCGGTGGATCTCTCTCCTCTTCATTCACTGTGGCAGGGTCTCTCCCTGAACCCCGAGTTTGTGATTTGGCTAGTCTAGCTCCAGGGAATCTAGTCTCTGCCTCACAAACGCTGGAATTTCAGGTGGTCCTCCACACCAGCGTGGCTTTTATGTGGGCACTGGGAATCCAAACTCAAACTCTGGTCCTTGTACTCGCAAGGCAAGTAAGTACCTTGTCAGCCATGCCATCTGCCCAGCCTGGGAAATTAAAATTTTTAATTAGGGCTAATACATTAGGTGTACACAGAAGGGGCTAGGCGTCAAATCCTCATCACAGTCACAAAGCTTTAGCACCATATGAACCCCCACCCCGCCCCCCTTCGCCCCCATTGGTACTAGGGATGGGTGTGTGTTTTACCAATGAGTCCTGTCCTCTGCCTCGAGACAAGGTCCCTCAGGCTGGCATGGATTCTTGCCACACACCCACCCCCCATCCTCCCATTCCCAGTCTCTCCCCCCTCTCCCTGTCTCTCTCTAAACCTGTGGTGCCCGCCTTTTAATCCCAGCACTGAGAGGCAGAGGTTAGGGCCGACCTCTGTGAGTTCCAGGCCAGCCAGGACTCCGTGATAAGATCCTGTCTGTTTTGTTTTGTTTGAGACAGGGTTTCTTTGTGTAGTTTTTTTGGCTGCCCTAGAACTAGCTCTGTACGTAGAAATGGCTATGGATCAAATCCTCACCACTGGCTGAGACCCTGTCTTTAAAAGTTTTTTTGTTTTTGCTTTTGGCCTGGTGGTGGTGGCTCACGCCTTTGATCCCAGCACACAGGAGGCAGAAGCAGATGGATCTCCATGAGTTTGAGGCCAGCCTGGTCTACAGAGCTAGTTCCAGGACAGCCAGAGCTACACAAAGAAACCCTGTTTTGAAAAACTAAAATAATATAATTTGTGGACATGAATGTGAGTGTGTACTTGGCAAGATTCCTTGTGCAGACGGCAGAGGACAGTGAGTGGGAGTTGGTCCCCTCCTTCCACCATGTGGGTCCAAGGGATGGCGCTCTGGTCATCAGGCTTGGTGGTAACTGCTTACACCTGCTGAGACAGCTTGCTGGCCCTGGCCTGAAACTCTTTGGTCTCCCTGAGTGTGCAGATTATAGGCTTGTGCTAACCTGCCAAGCCTCCCGTTTATTTAGATAAACACATCTACATCACAACCATCTACAGTGGGATCTGATAGCCTCTTCTGGTTTACATGTAGATAAAGCGTTCATAGACATAAAATAAATTGTAGCCAGGCGGTGGTGGTGCATGCCTTTAGTCCCAGCACTCGGGAGGCAGAGCCAGGTGGATCTCTGTGAGTTCGAGGCCAGCCTGGTCTACTGAGCGAGATCCAGGACAGGCTCCAAAGCTACACAGAGAAACCTGGTCTTGGAAAAACAAACAAACAAACAAACAAAAAAGTAAAAAATACACATCATAACATAAAAGGTAGTTTTAACCATTATAAGCATGTACCACTACACCTTGCTTAATCTTTTCTTTCCTTTCCTATTTTCTTTATTTAGGCTTTTTTTTGTTTGTTTGTTTTTGAGACCGGGTTTCTCTGTGTAGTTTTGGAGCCTGTCCTGGATCTCACTCTGTAGACCAGGCTGGCCTTGAACTCACAGAGATCTACCTGGCTCTGCCTCCTGAGTACTGGGACTAAAGGCGTGCGCCACCACCACCACCACCGGAGTTATTAAAGATGGCTGTGAGTTGATATGTAGGATCTGAGAAGAGAACTCCATCCTCTATCAGTGTAACAAGTGCTCTGAACTGCTGAGCCATCTCTCCAGCCTTCATTTATTATTTATAAGTTGTGTGTGTGTGTGTGTGTGTGTGTGTGTACTTGGACATTAGTGTAGATGCCTGTGGAGGCCAGAAGGGGGCAGTGGAACCTTGGAGCTGGAGTTATTTATAAATTGTGTGTATGTGTGTGTGTGTTTGTTTGTGTGTGTACTTGAACATGAGTGTAGATGCCTGTGGAGGCCAGCAGAGGGCACTGGAACCTTGGAGCTGGAGTTACAGCTGGTTGTGAGCCGCCTGATGTGGTTGTCTGCAAGAATAGTAAGTATGCTTCACTGTCAAGCCATCTCTCCACCTTTTTAAATGAAAACGAAAGGTAGCGGGTAGGGCTGGGGGTATTACTGACGGGTAGAGGATACGCTTGACATGGGTTAAATCCACTGTACCACGAAAGAGGAAGAATGAAGTCCCAACAACAACAAAATGGGTGTCGTGGCATATTACTGTAATCCCAGTCCCTGGGAGGCAGAGACAGGAGGATTGCCACAAGCTTGAAGTCAGACAGGTCTACACAGCAAGTTCTAGGTCAGCCTATGTTACAAAAGAGACCCGTTCTCAACAAAAACAACGAAACACAACATAAACAAAACCAGACCCCATTTGTGAGAGCTCAGTCCCTGAGCTGATGTGTGATGCCAGTACTGAGTCCCAGGCTGTTTTACCCGTGTTTCTGAAGGACCCACTGCAAACCAGGGCTCTATTTATTTATTTATTTAGAAATTTTTTTTCATTCATCTTATACACTAATCAGAGATCCCCCTCTTCCCTCCTCCTGCCCCCCCAGCCTTCCCCTTCCACCCCCCCTACCCCCACCCCCCGCTCCCCAAGCCAGGGTTCGTACACCTCTCTTAATTCACGGAAGCTTGCCGGCAGTCACCATTTGGTTACCAAGGGCACGACCAAGAACATAGATGTAGAGCATTCCAAAGAAGGCTGCTGAGGCTGTGGAACCAAGAGCCCGCCATGACCAAAGGAAGACGTTCTCCACAGGGTGACATTCACTCCATAGCGCTCTATTTTCCTAAGGATGAGGTAGGCAAGCAAATCAATGTTTCAAAGTTAAAACAACAAAACAGGACAAAGAATACAGATGAAGAGACTGACCTCTTCTTTTTTGTTTGGTTTTTTGTTTTGTTTTGTTTCCCGAGACAGGGTTTCTCTGTGTAGCCCTGGCTGTCCTGGACCTCATTTATAGACCAGGCTGGCCTCTCACTCAAGAGATCCACCTGCCTCTGCCTCCTGAGTGCTGGGATTAAAGGTGTGGGCCACCACCGCCTAGCCTGGGTACTACTTTCTAGTAACTTCATTTGGAGCTTTGTTTTGTGATCCTAGGGTCTTGAACATGCTAAACAAGCAGCCGTAGCCCCTCCTGGGTTTTTAACGGTGATTTTTTTTTTTTTGCATACCCATGATTGATTAAGTCACTTGTCATTGGTGATCAACTTTACCTTCAGCACACTGTCCCCGGTCCCCAGTCCTGAAGTAGCAGGTGGGGCTGAAAGTTCCCACCCTTTAATGTTGCTTTAGCGATTCTGGTCACCTAGCTCCCATTTCTGAAGCTACCAGGAGGCTGCCAGGCAGCACTCAGCTCATTAGCATATAAAAAGACAAATCACTTTGGAGATTCAAAAGCTTTTTGAAGTTGTAAGCCAGGAAACTGGGATGAAGATCACACATATTTCAAAATATCACAAGTGCTAAGCTTAAAAAATTAGAATATAAACATATGTGTATGGTCTAAAAATAATTTATCTCCATCAATCTAAGAAAGAAAATATTAATGGTTTGCAATAGCCCCAAGGGTGGAAACACAAAAGATGTCCATCAGCGGATGAATAAGAAAGTAAAATGGGGTGTATTGCTGGCCGTGGAATAATTGACAGAAGGCGAAGGGCCATGCCTGTCATCTCAGCACTCGAGAAGACAACGTAGAAGTATAACTATAAATTTAAAGCTATCCTGAGCTACAGAGTAAGTTCAAGGCTAGCCTGGGCTATGTAGTAAAGCAAGAGAGGAAGACTGTCTCAGAAACGGAAACAACAAACAAAAACAAACACAACAACAGCAAAACCACCAAACCAACAAGTCAATGGAATATTCAGCCTCAAAAGGAATACCAGCACTTGGGAGACCAAGGCAGGAGGGTAGGAAGTCTCAGCTATGCATTAAGACTATACTGGAACTGGAGAGATGGCTCAGTAGTTAAGAGCACTGGCTGCTCTACCAGAGGACCAGGGTTTTGTTCCCAGCACCCACATGGCAGCTCCCAACTGCCTGTAACTCCAGTTCCAGGAGACCTGACATCCTCACATAGACGTACATGTAGGCAAAACACCAATGCACATAAAATAAAAATGAAAACTTATGATTATATATTAAATCGCTCTCAAAAAGAAGCAGATTTGACAGATGTTACAACTAGATGAATCTTGAAGATAGGGTAAGTAAAATAAGCCAGACACAAAAAGATACAGTATGGTTCTTGTCGTCTCCAAACTAGTCAAATTTAGAGACAGAATGATGGGTACCACTAGGGATGTGGAAAGGAAGAATTGGGGATAGTTTTTGATGGCTATGGAGGTAGGGTACTGGGACAAGCCTTTCCTTAGGAACCAGGAGGTGAATTCTGTCTTAAAACGCCTCTGTAAATAGGGACTTAATACCTTCCCATCGATTTACTCTCCTTCCATGCTTCATTCCCCTTTCATTCACTTTGGAACCAAAAAAGCCTATGTTGTACAGCATAAGCTTATCAGTTTCTCCTCTCCCTCTTTTTTGAGGTAGTCTCACGTAGCCAAGGCTGGCCTTGAACTCTGGATCTTCCTACCACCATATCTAGCATTCTGTCTGTTTTCTGTGGAATCCAAAGTAAGATATGCTGGGCAGTTCACACACTCTCCCACTGATGAGCATTTGACCTGGTTCCTATTTTCTTGGGATTGTCGTGGAACTACAGTGCACCCTTGTTGCTTACCAGGGTTTCTCCAGAATGTGCTGAGCAGTAAGCCTGCTAGAGCCTAAGCTACATAGACTTCCAGCGTCACCGGCCACCACTTGGTTCCCTACAGCTAGGCCTGATGGGCCGGCCCTCTTTCTCCTCTCCTAGCACAAGTTTGTCTGCTGTGGAGGGCACTTCCCCAACACAGCTTAGCTAAGCTTCTCTCTCCCTTAGAGTCCAGCTCTCCACATCAGTTCCTTAGCAGTTTTCCCTCACTTTGACCCAACCACAGACTGGGTCAGTCTTCCCTATGCTATCTATGTACCTGTAAAAAGCATAACAGCATGCTGATAGTGATTGCCAAGCATTTGAGAGGAATCAGCTTGATCCTCAATGCTTGTGCACACGCGCACGCGCACACACACACACACACACACACACACCCCTTTGCAGTATTTACAGTTTGCAACGTTCCATTGATCTCTGCAACTATTAAGACAGACTGTCTCCCCAGACTACATTGTAAATTCCTGAAAGCAGTAACCACATAGGAGGCAATTGATAACTGCAGGTCATTCTCTATTGTAACTCATTTGAACTGTAACTTTTCTAGCTAGCATCTATCACGACCACCACAGGGTCTTACTATGGTAAGACACAGGTTAGCTTGGGACTTGCTACATAGATCAAGCAGGCCTCAAAGTCACAACGATCCACCGGCCTCTGCCTCCAGAGTGCTAGGACTGAAGGTGTGAGCCACCATGCTTGACATTGGCATGCTTTTAATTTTTTAAGAAAGATTCTATGTGTAAAAATGTTCTGCCTGAAGTGTAATAGTCCTATTAAGAGTTTGCTTTTGGGGCTGGAGAGATGGCTCAGCGGTTAAGAGCACTGGCTGTTCTTCCAGAGGTCCTGAGTTCAATTCCCACATGGTGGCTCACAGCCATCTGTAATAGATCTGGGGCCCTCTTCTGGCCTGCAGGGATACATGAAAACATTACACTGTATATATAATAAATAAATAAATCTTTAAAAAAAATGTTCTGCCTGCATTTATGTATGTGAACCATGTGTGTGCCTGGTGCCCTGTGGATAAGTGAGTGCTGGATTCCATGGAAAGGCAGAAATGACCATGAGCTGTGGTGTGCATCCTGGGAGCCAAACTTAGGTCCTGCACAAGAGCAACAAGTGCTCTTAACCACTTAACCACTCACACGTTGTCATCAGTAGCCTTACTAAGAGTGGAGCTTGCCTTGAGTTCTATACCTAACATTGAAGGGGGTAAAAAACCAAAAACATCTACTGGGTCGAGATAACATTATGGGCCGGGCCGTGGTGGCACATGCCTTTAATCTCAGCACTTGGGAGGCAGAGCCAGGTGGATCTCTGTGAGTTCGAGGCCAGCCTAGTCTACAGAGCAAGATCCAGGACAGGAACCAAAGCGACACAGAGAAACCCTGTCTTGAAAAAACAAACAAACAAAACCAAAAAAGATAACATTATGGACATAGTCTCTGTCTTCAATTACAGATTCAGGCCAATAAGGGGATTAAAGGCGTGCGCCACCACTGCCTGGCACTAACTTCATTTTTTTCAACACATATTTACCAAGAACCTACAATGAGCCAGATTCTGTCTTAGGGGAGGAGAATAATTTGTTCTTTGTCACATTGGCATCTTAGTGGGGGAGGGGGGAAATTAAAAGAAGACATGATCAATGGGGATTACTGCTTCAGAGAAAAGAACAGAAAAAGGCAAGTGGGGACCATGACTATGATGCCTGTGGTCTGATTTCACATCCCCGACAGTGATGAGAGAGGAGGAGGTCCACAGAGGTGATGTCAATTCCTCGGGGACACCATACTGAGACATGAGGACCCTAAAGGTCTAAGAACCCATCTTGCCAATTACCTTTCTCTGGGCGCCTGCTCCTGGGACTATGATGTAGACAATGCAAGTGTCACACTTTCTTCCAAAGGCTTAAAGCCCGGCAGGCAGGTACGCTTGCTTCCTGGAACCTTGTAATCAGAGAGTCCCACTGAGTCATCAAAGCAGTGGGCAGACACGAAGCATAATCATGGACAAGTTACAGATAGGGAGGCCAGCCTGTAGACTCATACTGATGAATCCATTCCAGAGACCACCAGCAGGAGGTAAAGTTCTTCTAGAATGTTCTGCTACTGTTGGCGAATTTAAAGCTAACAGCTGGCTCGGGGGTCCCTCACCCTTCAGTTCTCTCATGAGCTGGTAGGCCAGGCAGGGAGGGGCCAGTTACCTAGTGACTGACTAAGCTTGGTCCCCGCCCTTCTCTCACCCATCACCCTAGACTGGGGTTCCGGAGGAGGATGTAGGGTGCATGTTCGAAGGCTTCAGATGTGCACAGTGAGGCTGGGGCTCGGCCCTCAGTGGCCTGTGACTCATCAGCTTCTGGCCAGTGACTCTCACGAACCATGGCGGGCAGTCTACAGTCTGGCATATTGAGCAGCTGGAGAGACACAGCACCCTCTTCCTCCAACTCCACACTGTAGCATGTTTTTTTTGTGTCAGGAAGGCCCCTAAGAACCTGCATAATACAACCCCCCCACCCCCCAACCCCCACCCCGTCCCTGCTAAAGGTACTCTTTAAAGTTTAGCTGATTGAGCTGAAAATAGATATATTTCAGGGTTTGAGAAGCGTACTTCTCCATCTAACTTTATATTTTTGAGACAAGGTTTTTCTGTGTAGTCCTGGCTGTCTGAAATTTGCTCTGTAGAGAAGCCTGGCCTCAAACTCAGGGGTTCACTCCCTGACACCCCTGGTGCTGGGATTAAAGGCACACACCCCACATCCAGCTTCATGTAACTCTCCAAAAAAAAATTTTTTTTTTTTTGAGACAGGGTTTCTCTGTGTCGCTTTGGTGCCTGTCCTGGATCTTGCTCTGTAAACCAGGCTGGCCTCGAACTCACAGAGATCCACCTGGCTCTGTCTGCCGAGTGCTGGGAACAAAGGCGTGCGCCACCACCGCCCAGGAACTCTATATGTTTTTAAAGATTTATTTGTAAACAGTCAGGCAAAGTGGCACATATTTTTAATCCCAATAGTTAGGAGGCAGAGACTGGAGGATCTCAATGAGTTTGAGGCCAGCCTGGTCTATAGAATGAGTTCCAGGATAGCCAGGGCTATATAGAGAGATCCTGCCTCAAAACAAGCAAAAAGATTTATTTGTATGTACTTAAACTATTTCCTTTTTATACTTATTTAATGTATAGGAGTGTTTTTCTTGCATGTATGTGTATCTCATATATACCAACAGATGCTTGTGAACCACCATGTCTGTGCTGGGCACTGAACCCAGGTCCTTTGACAAGATCATCAAGTGCTCTTTGTTGTTGTTATTGTTGGTGGTTTTTTGAGACAGGGTTTCTCTGTGTTACAGCCATGGCTGTCCTGGAACTCCCTTGTAGACCAGGATGACTTCAACCTCACAGAGATCCGGCTGCCTCAGCCGCCTGAGTGCTGGCATTAAAGGCGTGCACCACCGCCACTCAGCTCAGCCCCTAACCATTGAGACATCTCTCCAGCCCGAGTGCTTTTCAGTGTGGAGTTTCTGGGCCAGATCCAAGGGGCTAAAATTAAGGTCTGTCTTTGCAAGGAAATTTTTACTTATCACACAAGAGGCAGATGTTAGATGGCTAAGAGTTTCTCTTGGAGGTGGGGAGAAACGCCAACTGTCCTTTTTCAGAGCATTCTACTTTCCCCAGGGGGAAAGCCTGTTCTCTACCAGGAACAGGTGGCATGGGAAGGAGGGGAGGGGTTTCCTGTAAGGGCTGCTGTGTGTGCGTATCAAGGTTATGTTTCATGAATGACCTGTGAACCGTCACTTTGAAAAGGGTTAAGGCCACTGGCACCACCTGCAAAAGATATTACAGTTATTATTATTATTATTATTATTATTATCCAGGGAAAGGAAACTCTAAGTCCTGTGGGAGGGAGAATAGTGTGGGCATTTGGGAGGAATAGTAGGGTGCTGGGCTTCCATTTGAGCTGTCTTTCTAGAATAGATGGACAGAGGTGTTGTTTGAGATATGAACTGTATTGAGGTGACATACAGGGATGGGAGGATGTAGCTAGGTGCTTGCCTATCATTCACACAGCCATGTTCAATCCATGTTCAATCCCCAGCACTATAAAGCCAGGCACGCACCTGGGGAAGGATCGCCCTGATCTCAGGGCGGTCTGGTGACAGCAGAGGTAACAAGATACATCCAGCTCTTTCCATTGCCACAGGTTCAGCATTTGTGGATTGAATGATTATTTATATATGTGTGTGTGTGTGTGTGTGTGTGTGTGTGTGTGTGTGTGTGTGTGTGTGTATGTTGTGCAGATGGGGACACACGCACACACAGAGACCAGAGGAGGGCATAAGATGTCCTCATTCTTCATCTCATTCCTTTGAGGCAGGGTCTCTCTTGAAGCTCATGTTTCTCTGATAGGCTAGCAGCCGGTATGCTCCAACAATCCTGTCTCTACCCGTACATAGTTCGGGTGTAAGATCAGGCTCAGCTGATGTAGGTGTTAGGAGCCAAATTCAGGAATTCGTGTTTGCTCCTTTCCGGCCCCTATTTATATTATATTATATATATTTATATATTATTAGTTTTTTGTCCTAGGAATTGAATGTAGGGCCTCATACATGCTAAGCACTGTATCTCCAACCTCAGAAAATATATTTTAAAGAAGCCCATCTGGCGTTAGGTGTGGTAGTTTACGACTGTAATCCTATCATTCATGAGGCTGAGGGCAAGTGGCTCTTTCTGAGTTTGAGGCCAGCTTGGTTAACGTAGTGAACTCCAGGTCAGCCAAAGCTATACAGGGAGGCTCTGTCTTAAAACGACAACGATAAAGAACGAACTAGGTCCAGCACTCAAGAGGCAGAAGCAGGCGGATCTCTGTGAGTTCGAGGCCAGCCTGGTCTACAGAGCGAGATCCAGGAAAGGCGCAAAGCTACACAAAACCCGTGTCTTGAAAAAAACCAAAAAAAAAAAAAAGAACGAACTAGGGACTGGCAAGATGGCTCGGCCAATAAAGACGCCCTTCCATTACACCTGATGACCTGAGTTTGAACCCTGAGACCCACATGGTGGAGTGAGAGAACCCACTCCTTCCTTCAGGTTGTCCTCGGATTTCCACACATGCGCTATGGTGCTGACTGCCCCCGCCCCACAACAAAAACCAATAAAAATGGAAAATAAGAAAAATAACAATATAACCCAAGAACTCCATCCCGCTGGGCTTTCTAATTCCAGCTGAGGATGAGGATCGTAAGCTGAAGGCTAGCCCGGGCAATTTAGGAAGGCTGAGTTTCAAAAGACAATGAGAAAAAGGGTTTTGGGGACATAGTTCAGTAGTAGAATGCTTGCCTAGCATGTGCAAGGCCCTGGGTTCACCAGCACTGGAGGAAAAAAAAGTCCATCCTTAATTTCAATTTTTTTCCCCTCAACTATCCCATCTTCTCTGCCTTGTCATTTTCCCTAAACAACACAACTATACTGTAACAACTATTTACCCAGCAATTGAGTATTGGGTATACGACATGATCTTGAAATAACTCAAAGAGTACCAGGAGGCTGGGGTGGGGGAGTGGAGGTTCTAAGGAAACACCACCGTTATAGGACTTGAGTATCCCTGCATTTTGCTGTCTGGAGTCCTGCGTCTGATTCCCTGAGGAAACCTCGGGGCAATCTAATGTGCTGAGCATGAGAAGGTGGCAGGAAAGAAGATACCCAAGCATCTTCTAGGAGGAGGATGTTACGGAGGTGGCAGCTGGCAGGACAAGTGCCGAGGGGGAAGGACCAGCAGGTGCAAAGGTCGGGAGGAGGCAAGGATGTCTAGTCAAAGGACTCAAAATACCTAGAGCAAGGAGGTCAGGCTAAGAGCTGCTGTGGCTGGGGAAAGAGCTACTCCATCCTCCACGGGTGACTCTTCCCCCGAACCTTCAAAGTGGAAGGCGGCAAACTGTTAGGGTTCCGGTGCCCGGAACGCCAGCTTCATTGGAACAGCATCATCGGATGAACCCTTTTCTAACACGGGCTCATACAGTACCCCTGTGACTAGAGCGTGTTTCTTCTTACAACCTCCCTTTCACAGGTGAGGCAGCAGACTGTCCAACGTCTTTTATCTTGATGTACTGTCTCGAGGTTTACAGTGTTCCTTTATGTAAATGGTTTAGTTCTAGCAGGTGCCTTCGACTTGCGATAATATACATAAAAGCCTCGTTTTCTTCTTTTTTTAATAGAGAAACCTAAACACGAGGCATCATGAATTGGCTGGACCTCTGGCTCTCTCCAGTTCAGCCTGTAGGAGTCAGGAAACCCAGGAAAGGGCAATGGTTATTGCCAGAAGGCCAAGTGGCTTCTCAAAATTCCCCACGTCTATTCTGGGTCTCCCTCTGGGGCAGCTCTTAAGATACCATCTTCTGCCAAACAGAGTTTGTTTCTCAGAAGCTGCAAGAAGTGGGAGGTTTGTGGGGGGGGAAAAAAACCCCTGCATCAACAACTCCAAAATCCCCTGCAGCAGCCTGAGCTGCACAAAGGGTCTGAGTTCTGAACAAAGGGCTGGGTGAGCCTGGAAAGTAAATGCTGCTGACATCCTCTCTCCAGCTGTGAACTGGGGGTCTGAGGGCTGCTGCAAAGGTCATCTGTCTCCACATCTTCGGGGCAGGAAATGCTATTCAATCCTTCCAGTGACTGATCACTTTACAAGATGAATGGAAATGTCTCCACCATGGGTCTGTGTTCTGACAGCGCACAAAGTGAACCAAACTTCTCCCCCGGGCCTCCTACTCAGCGAGGTCAGCTGATTCCTTGTCTTTAAAAAAGTTCAAAACTTTCATCCAGGCCATCTGTTCCCTGGTATTCCAGTGGTAGGAGAGATCTTGTCTCCAGGAGCTGGACCCAAAGACAGCACCTGAGGAGGCCCTTCTGTTTCTGCTTCATCTTGCAAAGTCAAAGAAATGCAAAGGACACGGTAGGCCCTCAAGGGTTAACTGCCAGCCTTCTTGTCCATCCCTCAGAGACTGTCAACCAGTGACAGCTGAGCATGATGAAGTAATGCCTGCCCTTTCGTTTCCATTGGCTACCATACATGTCCATCAACCCCAAGATGCAAGTTTTGAAAGAATCTTTGAACTTTTATGACTCTCTTTCCCAGCGTTAACCCTTTAACTCATCTGTGGATTCAGGGGTTCTTCCCATCCTTGCACAGGAATAGACAGTCTGAAGAGCAGGATTCTGTGTAGAATGTCAAACTCTTCCCCTCAGGGTCAGGTCTGAAAGTCTCTGGAGAGTTTTGTTTTTTCTTTTTGACTTTAATCCACAAGGGACTTTTAAAACACAAAATAAACAATCACTTGAACAGAAACAGCTTGGTCTGCTGATAGATGAAAACAAAGTGTATTTTAAATTACAAAAGTAATACAAAACAGAACAAAAGCGTGTCTAAGACTTGTTAGTGCTGGGCCTTGCACACACAAGCTTTTACTGTATTTTAATTTCTATTTATGCCCCCCCCCCCCCAGTGCCCTAGCATGCTGTGGATTGAACCCAGAGCCCCTACATGCTGGCATGAGCTCTATTCCTGAGCTACACCACTAACCTGGAATTCATTTCTGAGTAGGTTTCACATCTCCATGGTATGGAGCTGAAAAGGCACTATAGCATATAGAACGAAATTAAATCCCTCAGATCTGAACCAGGCAATATTCATATGAACACATGGTTAAAGTTTCACAGTGTATCACAGAATAACTTCTCATGTTTCTTTTCCCCATTGTTGTGTCTTTCCAAAGAAAATTCAATGCATATAAATGGTTAAGTATAGCTGAGCAGTGGTGGCGCACGCTTTTAATCCAAGCTCTTAGGAGGCAGAGGCAGGTGGCTCTCTGTGAGTTGGAGGTCAGCCTGATTTACAGAGACATCCAGGGCTACACAGTGAAACCCTGTCTCAAACAAACAAACAAAATAAGTATAGACCTGTAGATAAATCATCTTTGGTTTACCCAACTAGTGATCAAAATTTAGTATTCTCTATCTTGTTTTTATTTAAGATATCCTCAGGTCATTCCATGTAAGCATATATTCTCTTTTTTTCAATGCTGAAGATCAAACGGAGCACCTTGGTTTAGTTTTGTGTGTGTGTGTGTTTTTGATAGGACCTCATTATGATTGGCCTGGAATTCTTGACCCCCCTGCCTGAGCCTCTCAAATGCTGGGATTAAAAGAACTATGTTACCATGCCTTGCTCAAGCTTTGAGTTAATAGTATATGGTTCTTGAGTCAACCATATATCATCCCTTTTAAAAGTTATTTTTAAGATGTGGGCAGGTGGGCCAATCCTATCCAACTGGTACCCAGCTAGGCTCTCAGGCATTAGGAGCAAGTGCTTTGAAGCCTAAGGCTGTAGAATTCACATTATACGTGCTCTTCCATACAACCTTTGCCTGATATCTTTGCCTCTGTGGGCTCTTCATACATTCAATTTGTGTCTTAGGATAGTTGATTATGGAGATGCTAAGCCAAACCGGACCTTGACTCATGCATAAATAGCCTGGTGGTACTTTAAGAGCAATAGTGGGAAATACCCCCAAGGCTTCATTGTTTTAAGTTTTCTGTTTGCTTGCAGCTCTGGGATTGGATCCAGGGCCTTGCATATGATGCTAGGCAAGTGCTGTATCACTGAGCTATAACCCTAGCCCATTCATTTTTTTATTTTTGAGACAAGTTTTCATTATGTTGCCCAGGCATGCACTACCATGCCCAGCTTAAGTCTGGGTATTTTTGCTACAAGTTTATTTTAATAGTAGAGTGAGTTCTTGGTTATAATTCTGGAGTAGCTGGGTTCCATCCCTTGCGCATGCACACACATGATGGGCGACTGTAATTGACAACATAGGTATATAATATTCCTATCTGTTCTATGTCATAGTCCCACAGGTAGGCTTACATAGTGGCCAGGCACGTGGACCCTGGATTCCTACAAGCTCTTGGTTCGAATCCTATAGCCATGGTATCATTGTGGTTAAATAACTTAGCATTTCTTTGAGCCTTAGCTATAAAGGGGGAGAAATTGGCAAAGATTCAGAGAGATGGCAGATAAAAAGGGCTTTGCGCACAGGCACTGTAAGTTCTTCAAAGCCTGGAGCGAGAAGCTGGGATAGTCCCAAGATGCGGGAGACAGAGGCAAGAGGCTCTTGCAAAGTTGGAGACCAGCCTGGTCTACATAGCAAGTTCTAGGCTAGCTAGGGCTAGGCCGAGAACCTGTCTCACAAAGAGGAAAGGCAAGAGCTAGTGTAATGGTGTGGTAACAGTTTGTTTTTTTCCCAGTCCAGAAACCCTGGCTTCTGAGAGCTCCCTCCGGCATCAGTCTTCATCTTGTTAAGCCACTGGTCTACTCCCAGCCAGCCCACTCTGTGTGTGTGTGTGTGTGTGTGTGTGTGTGTGTCTTGCTGTCTGTCTGTCTTTGGACACAGAGCTTCTTAAGCTAGCTTGTGAGGATGGATGAAACGATCGAATGAGTATAACACAGACAGGTAGGATCTGACGGAGCCTTTTACCCAGACCAAGCAGGGAGGTACAGGAAGTCACTGTTACTTTGTTTCCAGTGGGGCTGACTTGGGTGTTTTCCTGCATTAAAAGCACATCTTTTCTCTCCCTTCACCTAGTCGAGGCTCCTGGGGGACAATCAGCCAAAGTTAGAGCTCCCAGGGTCTGGCCCTTCCCCCTTTGGTCCAAAATAACCTCCTCCCCCACTTGGAGCGAATGCTTGGAATTCTTTCAAGCGAGGACAGAGCCTTTCATCTGCCAATTACTGATAAAGAGAAAATGCAAATATGCCTCGGAAGGTGATCCATCAAGGGCCCAACGTTTATTGAGTGACCACTGGGACCCAGCAGAGGGGTGGGCACTCTGGGGGAGTCAAAGGGGAACCAACTGCCGCCTGGCCCATTCTTCTCCGAGGTTTGAGGTTTGTAAAGGGAGGGGATTAAATCAGGTGACTAGTCAACAACCCCATCCCACTCTGGACAAGCCAGAACTCCCCATGGATGTGATAGATGGACTTAACTGCTTTTATATGAAGGTAGCTAACATGAGACTTTTTCCTAGTGCCAGCACTGGGGAGGGAGGGGGGTACAGGGACTCCAGGAAACCACAGGGGGAGAGAGGAGAGAGGCTCAGGGAGGAAGATGGAGGGTGCTCTCAAGTGTCCTAATCAACAGTTTTGCTTTCCGCTTGCACTGATTCTCAACCCAAGCCCCTCCTTTAAGCCAGGTCTATTTCATTTTGAAGCATAAATGAAGCTGGTGAACATTCGAAAAAGGGCAGGCTGTGTGATTGTGGGTGAATGGTTTTGCCTTCCCGATCCCAGCCTCTTGGTTTACAAAACAGAGCTACAAGGCAACAAGACCTTTCCTTTAAAACATTTTCTCACAAGAGGCAAATAAAATGATGCACTTTTTTTGTGTGCTTGTGTGTGTGTGTGTGTGTGTGTTGAGTGTGGAACTCAGGGCCTGATGGTTGCTTAGGCCCAATATTCCACCACTGAACTGCATCCCAGCTGGTCCCTGCTTTTCAACAGAGGGGTGGCTGGAAAGCCTGCCTCCTGGATGCAGCTGAAAGCTGAACCAATGTAGGTGTGATTTCAGTTTGACAAAGTTTGATGTTTATCGCCTCATCCCAATGCAAAAGATTTCTACTGCTAACGTGGATTGATGGAATTGAACTTCAGAGAGTAGCTTTGGGGACAGGCAGAAAAAAGGACAGCCCGACAGGGTAGGAAATTCTAACGTGATGGAGGGAGGAGCATATTATCTCTTAGGGTGACCAATTCTGAGTTGTGGCTCACAGCTGATCTCAGGTGGCAAGGCCACTTCCTCCCCACATCTGTCTGAGCTAGCGCTTGTTGACACTGGGGCAAGACACAAAGAGCAACCACCCAGATTCATCATTTCTTGAAGCCAGGTTTCCCAATGTGCAGACTGATCCGCTTTAACTCGTGTACTGGGCAAGAAGCTGCCATTGGCCATCTGAGCGATCTCTCAGAGTATCCCTGGTGCTGTCATTAGGCCTTGCAGGGCACAAGAGGCTGGGTGGGAACTGAGTTTAGAGCCAGCTTTTCTCATAGCTAAAATGGACCTGATTTGCCTATTTTGGAATTACAGGATCACTCAGGACCAATTCTGCACTACTCAAGGGGGGGGCAGAGGAGCATCAAGGGATCTGGTACTCTGTACATATTCAGAGGGTGCCCCTACCTCTGCTGAGAGGCAATATTGATTAATCTAGGTGTGCTATCTCAGAAAGTCACGAACATCCCTACCACTTTACTCTTAAATTGCCACACAAGGAGCTTACCTTTTGCCTGTTTGTGAGCTGCGTTAGAGACGCTGACTCCGATTCTCTTTCCCTCCTGTGTATCGATTTATCTCTTCTCGGCGAATGTAGAGACTTTTTTTTTTTTTCTTTTCTCGCCCAACTTATTTCAGGGCTCTTCCACCAAGGCTGTCCGAAATGAATGAATGAAAGGCCGTCTTCCGGTCAGATGCAGTCTGAAAGGCTGTGGACTGGCTGTATTTCCTGTACCTGTGCGTGTGTGCCCTGCCCATGTTATTATTTCAGTCTCGGGAGCTTAAAAGTTAGGCAGTCTATACAGATACAGAGCTGCGCTAATTTCTTCCTGAGCCCCTCAGATGCCTCCTCCATATGGCAGGTTCGCAAATGGATAGGGGTCTGGGCAGGCTGGCCCCTCCCCCCCAGGCATGCAGTAGAAAAGCAAACACAGAAAAAGAAATTCTACGTACAAAACACTTTGAATTTAGGTCGCCGGCACAGGTAATGAGGAGGGGTAGACTCAGGAAGAGAGGGGCAGCCGTGGGTAATCCGAGTAAGGGGGCAGGGGCAGAGGTGGGGGGTCGTTTTGGGGGGTGCCAGGCCCCGGGGGCTTTCACGCCAGCAGGCTCGGCTAGCATTTCCGTGCCTCCCGCTGAGGCCATCCGTGCAAATCTGCACCTCCCTCCCCACCCCCTCCTCTCTTCCCCTCCCTCCCTGCCCCGCCATCTCTGGGATGCGCCCGCCGCCTGCAACTCAGCCCTCCAAAAGTCAGCTCCCGGGCGGCGGCGGCGCCTGCGTGCAGAGGCGCACTCGTGACCCAACAACAAAACAGCGATGCCAAGGCGCTAACGGCGCCGGGTGCGTCCCAGGCTCCCTTCTGGCCCCACACCTCCTACGGCTGTGGTCCCCGACACCCCCAACCCAAGCCCCCCTTCTCCCCAACTAGCCCCGCCGCGAGCTCCGAGCGCGATCTGCAACAATGTTTACGTTCCGGGGATTATGACGTCGACGCCTCCCCCCCCCCCACAACTGCTGAAAATGGTTTCCTAGGACTTTGCAAACGGATCTGCTTAAGTGTTGGTGCAAAACTTTGTAGATATCGGCTCTGGCTTGCTCTATTTATTTATTTTTTGGTTTCTTTTCTTGTCTTCCCTCCTTCCCCCCCTCCGCCAAAATGCAGGGGGCAGGAGTGTTGACAATTAATTGGTGAACTCTCCTAAAAAAATGGAGGCAGAGAAAGACTCTGGAAGAAGATTGGTGTGTAGCTTTTTTTTTTTTCCCCAAATCTGTATCTGATATATGATCGATTTATTTATTTATTTATTTTGGTTGTTTCTTGCTGCCTTTCCTTTCCTTTTCTGTATTTTGCAAGAGGACCGGAAAAAAATAATAAATTGCATGCAAAAGGAAGCAAGCAGCTTACTCCTCCAGTCTCTTGTGAGGCTCAGGGTCTCAGACACTTAAGTGGGGAGGAGGTAGCGCCGAAAGGCGTGGAGGGGGCTGAGCGGGCTCGGGGTTCGCCTGGGATCTGGGGGGCTGCGGGGCTCGGTGCTGGGCGGCGGAGGGAGGAGGAAGAGGGATGCGGGGAGTGGTGGGGGAGACTCCTTAGGAAGTGAGTGTGCGCGCGCGCTTGTGGGGAGATGAGGCAGCTGCTGGTGCGTTTTGGGGTCTCTGATGGAAGCTTTGTGGTGGGCCAGCTGCCTCTCTCTCTCCCCAAGCTCTTAACCTTCCCCCCCCCCTCCTCCTCTTGCACTAGCGGTCGGTCGGCGGGGGCGGCTAGGGTCTCAACCCTTCCGTTTCAGCTTTCCAGCTTTTCTGTGGCTCCGGAGCGGCTCCAGCCGTAGAAATGCCGCCGGCCCCGGGTTCCGGCTTCCCGGGTTGGCCGCTGTGGCCGCCGGGGCTGCTGTTACCGCAGAGCCGGGCGCTGCAGCGGCTTCTCTCGGGGCCTACATCTGCCCCGCCAGCTCATGCCCCGAGCCCCCTTCAGGGGTTACATAACCAGGCTCCCCGTGGAGCGGGCAGAGCTCGGGACATCACTGGGGTGGGGGCAAAGGAAAGCCCCCACATAGCATTTCCACGGCTTCAAAAGATGCAGGAAGGGAGTGCTTCGCGTGCAGACAGTTGGGCCTTGGGGGTGTGAGCCCCTTTTTCTGCTTTTCAGCATCTTTTGGCATTTGCGCAAAGTTGCTCAGATTGCATTGCTGGGGTGCAGTGGGCGCGCGGCTCTTGCACCTGTTTGTGGTGGGCCCAGGGTGAGAGGAGACCCCCAAGTCCTCTCAGTAATGTCCCGGGTTCTCTGGTTGGGTCCCCGCAGCGTGCGATTGACCGCCAGAGATACGACGAAAACGAGGACTTGTCGGACGTGGAGGAAATCGTCAGCGTCCGTGGCTTCAGCCTGGAGGAGAAGCTACGTAGCCAGCTGTACCAGGGGGACTTCGTGCATGCCATGGAGGGCAAAGGTGAGGCGCCCCCTCTCCTGGCTGCACTCTGTGCAGAGGGCCAGCGCGCACGTGGGGAGGGAGCTGCCTGTGGCTGGGTTCGTATTTCGCGCCCGCGTCCCCCATTCCAGGGGATCCGGTGACGAAACGAGATGGAGCACTGGGGGTGGGGGTGGTGGTAAGGGAGGAGGGCAGGCAGGAAGAAGGCTGGGCCTGACGTGGGCCTAGGCCCTGATTGTACCCATCACTAACACTAGGGTGGTCATTGCCAAGGGGCTAGCCGACTGAGAGGGACCCGGGGACAGATACTGGGACTGAGGGAGGAGGACGTGAGCGCAGCATCCTTCCTCTCCCAAGCCGGTTGCGCTCCCTGCGCTGCCAGAGGTGCAGTGCCTGGCAGGAGCCTTCTCGACGTCCTTGGGACATCGGGGTGAGGGCTGTATGCTTGAAGCCACCCGTACAAACCCCTGTCATCCTGGACCCTGAGGGTTATGAACTGGAACGGGTTTAGGGACTGGAGGTAGCAGCACCTTCCGTTGGGGTTACGCCCCTTCGAGGCTTCGGTCTGAGCCTTGGGGTCGGTAGCGCCTTTCCTCCTTGGGCCCTGCCCTGCGAGATTGGAGAAGGGACTAAGTGGGCTGTTGGGAGTCGTTGGCACTGCATCCTCATTCCCAAGCTCGAGGCCTCGAGCGCTGCAACCAGGAGAGTCAGTCTGAATACTGGGGTCTAGGTTATAAATGTGATAAATTATCCGATCAGGCCTAAAGATAAAAATCTCTGCCCCTTGGCAATTTGAATGGAAGACTTAGGTACCTCTCTGGGAACAGGGTCTTTTTCCATGCCTGAGAGGAGAGCGCTGTTTGCTCTTAGCCTTCCCGGCGTAGAGCAGAAGTTGGGCAAGCTCCGGTTTTGGAGGGACCTCCTGGCTTTGGGTTTCTCCCTGACTCTCCTACTGACAGTATGGCTGGGAGCGTTTCTTAGATGTGTGCCTCATGATGCTCCTGTTTGAGGTGAGGCTTTAGGGCTTTAGGAGCCCTGAACCACCCCAGCCAGCATCCTGGGGGTCCTATGTGGACCCTGGTTCCAGAACCTTTCTTGGCTTTGGGAGCAACCCTTGCTTGCCCAAGCCTTCCTAGGGTGTATGGATTTTTTTTTATTTTTAAGTTTCCCTTCAATTACTCATTTTCCATTTTGTGTTTCCCCATCCCCCTTGGAAACCCCTGTCCTCTCAGTGAGCCGACAGCAGGGGAAGTGCCTCCCTCCTGCAGGTTCTGGTTGAGTGGCTGAGGCCTAGAGTTAGCCCTGGAGGAGACTGTCCGGGCTTTGCATTTTTGAAGTTTCTCTTTTGTGCTCATTGCCTCCTGGGGCTCTGGTGGAGTTAGGGAGAAGGGGGGGAGGGAAGAAGAAAAAAAATTTTTTTCCTTTCCCAAGAAATTTCACCCAAAAGCAGGGTGCCAGCCCCCAACTGCATTTATATTTTCTCTGTATAAACGGGATTTTAATTCTCCTTTTCTCCCTCCACTTTACGGAGCTTGGCAGAAGCTATGAGAAAACAGTATGCAAACTCTTCCTAGTCAGGAATCCTCAGGCCAGGATTTGGGAGCTTTTTCTCAGGCCCATTTGTGGAAGCTGAAACTGTGGGGGTGGGCGGGGAGTGAGGGGTGTGTGGGCTGGGAAGGTTACCATCTAGGGAACTCTAAAGGGCATCCTTCTACTGCTGTCCTGGCTCCTTTCAAAGGAAGAGGGCTTCGGGGGTTTTGCTTGTTAATTCAGATCTGACCCCCAAACTGGAAGGAGGAGCTGAAATGCAGAGGGAACCCTTAGCATGGCTTCAAAACAGAAGCTTCGCAAACATCTCCTCCTTTAAATCCGGAGGAATCCCCATTCACTGGGAGCCCCTGGGGATCGGAGCCTCCAGGGTCAGGGCTTTCCCCGATCTGGGTTTTGTTCTTTCTCTTCGGAGCCTGTGGCTCTGGCCTCCTCCTCCCCCAAGGCTGCCCTGGTGAACTGTTTCCCTGAGGCTTCAGTCGCTCCAGGACTCTAGGACTCTAGATCTTTCTCCTTTCTGACCAGATGGGAGAGAGAACCTGTGCTCTTGGTGCCTTGAGTTAGTCAGCTGATTTGGGGAGGAAAGAGGGTGTGTCTCAGCACCCCTCACCTCTGTTGTCAGGGATATGGTTGGGTCAGAGCCACACTGGTTTGGGCATTGAGGGAGGAAAGAAACAAGCAAAGACGGAGGGGCTTTGGATAGGATGTTGTGGGTGGGAGTCTGTACCATGCAAACTGCAAATAGAAAACTGTCTGGTGAATTTTTGGGGGTGTGTGTGAGGGTGGGGGCCTCCTGGGCTCTGTCTTTACAGTTCGCCAGCTCAGCCCTCCTGGTTATCCAGTTGAAGCAAGTATTATGATGGGCTCCAGCAGAATTTCACTATAGGAAGACAACAAAGCTGTGGCCGGTTCTCTAGTTATTTTGGCACCAAATACATAGTTTCCAGGGAAACCGGCTTCCCCCCCTCCCTTTCACTATGCAGGATATTACAATAAGATTTTCACTGATGTTCAGCTACAATGAGAACCCTCCTCCTGGTCTCTATGGGGCTTCAGATCCTCCCAGGTAGCATGCTTCAGTTTCGCTGTCGTTTTTTCTGTCTCGACTCAGCCTGGGATGTGTTTGTCTGTCCCTATTTCTCAACAGTAGCTGGTGAGTTTTCAGTATAGAGTTCTTGATAAATCTCCTCCCCAGCCCTGGCTGGCCTTGGGCTGTTCATTGACAAGTTGGGACCCGTGGGGCATGCAGAGAATGAGTAAGGAAGAGGAGCTGATGGGGGATACCGCTTGGCTTTACCTTATCTGTCTTCTTATTTCTCCGGAGGTTTTTTTTTCTTCTCCATCTAGCTGGTACCTATATCTAGTGTATATGCCTTCTTTATTGTTTTCGCCCTCACCAATGGGGTTGTGGGTCATTTGCTCCCCAATAACTTAACCAAATAATTGTTTTTTAATTCAAATATCCAAACAGATTTTAACTATGAGTACGTCCAGAGAGAAGCTCTCAGGGTTCCCCTGGTTTTTCGGGACAAGGATGGACTAGGAATCAAGTAAGTTGCTAAATTAACCCCTTCTTCCCTGATCTTCCTCCTCGCTGTCACAGTTTCTAGCTCGGGATGGGTTCTCTCCTGACGCCTTCTCCCCACTCAGCACTTCCAGAAGGACCTTTTTCTAAAA